ATTGGGTCGCTTTTCCTAAATATCCGTCTTCATTCGATTTTGAACAATAGAAAAAAAGAAGTCAGAGAAGAAGAGAAGTCTTAATCGACGGTAGGTCTGTTTGTCATTCTTGATAATGTTTCCAGCTCGCCTTCCGGCATGGTCACCTAAATGTGACGTTTAGTGCATTATCGGAGCAGTTCAGTACAAAAGTACCGTTCTTTTAATCGGCTTATTATTAATCATTTGAAAGATTTTATACTCGATGATACTCAAACAATCAATTTCTTACCATCTCGTCTTTATTATTATTCTGTTCAGATCGCGATCACCGAAAAGGCGTCATCAAGATTCAATTGCGAGCAGTCTCTTCCTTTTCTTTTGAGACACTTTAGAATGCGAGCACGCGCGAGGGGCGAGGGGAGAGGGGCAAAGCCGGGAGAAACGAGGGAGAGCCACAATCTCTCCTTCTGTTCTGCTTAAGACTGGGGTTTAGATAAGTGGCACATCAATCTTCACTTGTTTGTAATTCCTGATCAAAGACAGTAGGTGCTGTTCGAACTCAAATTCAAAAGTTAGTCAATATAACATACAACTTTTTGTAACAAATAAAATACGTTTTAACAGAACAATATCACCACGGATCACAAACATTTTCCACTCAGTTCTGGCTCAAAGATTTGCAAGTGTTTTCATCTCGTTGTATTTTACTTATAATGAATAAAACACGAAAATTCAAAGCAAATACTCAGTTGAAATGGTATTTGTAGATTTATTGGATCAAGTGCAAGAAAATAGTTCAAATTGCATGAATAAACTTGAGTGCCGAAAGTGGTCAAGTTTTGAGAATTCAGTAGAGGATTAATATTGATGATCTAACGCTTTTTCGTAACTGAATCAATCCCTGCCACTTGCGTGCGAAGAGGGTCAAGATGGGAGTGGCTCAGTTTTCGTAGATCAGCTGTAACTATAATGACTCTGTAACACTTTTTATGGCAATAATAAACTCTAGTAGAGACCTTCAAATCCTAAGATGAGTACGACTACGAGAACGGTTAAGGCGGATTTAGTGTTTAGAGCTGGGAAAGGGTGCCCACTCCCAAGTCCACCTATGATTTCAAAATCTAAAACTGTAGCAGCCGTTTTAAGAGTGTAAAGTACAAGGTCAACCTGCCGTAAGGCCGGACTAAATGTATTGGATGAAGAGGCTCCAGACGCAAGATAAGGCCGACGAGGCGGTTGAATCGGATTTAGTATAGAGCTGAGTTAGTGTGCCCATTGCTAAAGAGGCGATGATCGACGCTGTTTCATAATGATTCAGTTATCTATAAAGTTATGGTTTACAATTCACAATTCACCTGTTATGTTCAAATTAGTTAAATATTAGCTTAGGTATAAGCACGTTATAAAAGGGTAAATATTAAAGTGTCACAAAACGTTCTCCATATAAAATAAAATGTACTCTTTCGGAAGTGTAACAGACTTTCGCTTTCTAAATAAAGTTGCGGTTAGAACAAACTGAGACTGCAAACACTTTTACCTCCCAGTAGAATGGACGCATTTGTTTTATATGCTCTCAAACTGGTATTGTCCAACAGATTTGAGTCGTCCCTCTGAATTCAATTCCTCAATTCTTCTTCACTGATTTCTTTTTGGGTTCCCAATTACGAATGATGCCCCCTTCTGTTCTCCTAAATATGAATGAAATGAAACTATGGGCATGAAACCAAACTATGGCGCGTTGTTTGTTTTAAAATTATTTTAGTCAGTTGTATGATATCATTGTCTTCTTTTCATTTATCTCTCATCCCTTATTTGGCATCATTTCTTGCTGCTTTTTCAAACGTCTCCTCTTGATATTTGGTGCTCCAGAGAGAGACTCTCGCTTTAACATTTTCTATGTCGGTTATATGCACTACTCTGTCAGTTGTATCCAGTACTCTGTCAGTTGTACACACTACTCTGTCATTTGTAAACATTTTCTCTGTTAACACATGCACTGAGGGGTGTCCATATTAACTGGGTTGAATTTAGAGAAAATGTAACTTAAGAGTAAGTTAAGGACTGTCTTTCCCCAGGGACAAAGCAAACTGTCTGTAATAATGAGGTGTCTTTATTAAGCAGGTGTGTAAAAATTGGGGTTTGACTGTATACACAGGGCTGTCAACTCTCCTGCATAATCTGGGAGACTCCAGATTTTGAACCATAATTCACTCAGACTCCAGGTTAGAATCTGAAATCTTGAGGGTAATCGCCATGGTTTGCCATTTCTTGTGGAATCAACTTTCTGACAGTGGAATTTTTTCAAATACTTTGCTTTGTTTGAGCTATTTTACTGTTAATATCAAACATTTCCTCACAAACTCTGGTATGCCATTGTAAATAATATAAGCAATAATGTGGTTGGTGGGAAGTAAGCCAATTAATTAGGTCAAATGTGATAATTCCAACAACATCTTTTTTGTGCAGTTTTTTTCACAAATGATGTCATGTGCTGTAGTCATTATGACATCATTTATCATCCCTTATCCCATCAATTCTCAATATTTGAAGATGTGGAAGGTTGACAGGTCTTGTATGCACCTGATTGAAAAAACATTGTCGCTTGAAAAGTATAAACCATGAACGATGGGACCTAATAGATTTATGGGTAGAAGAGTTTATTAGTATTGGAAGTTCTTTTCAGAAATGTTTACTTTATTGAAGCTTTTGGTGATGATGCATCCAAAAAACATCAAACGGTTTCCAGATTTCGTGGCAATATAAGCTCACAGCTTCACCTGTCTTGGACACATAATGGATGTCTACATTTATTAAAGAGCATAGGCATATCACAAACGCATGTACTTGAAAATCATAAGATAGGACATAAAAAGCTTTCTTGAAAGACAAAAAACAACAACAACAACGACAGCATGCCTTGCAGAAAGTACTTTAGGTATTTGCATCCACACGAGTACCTCGTGACAATGCAAACTTTTGTCAAAAGATCTTTGAATTTGCTTTGCTAATGAACATACATGTATACCCATAAATACTTGAGGCCTCATCATTCATGGTTTATACTTTTGAGTGACAACAACAACAACATTATCCGGAGGATAATGCTCTTGGCCCACAGACTGTCTTCATGCAAATTTCACAGTTACGCTAGATACCTAGACATGTATATGTACAGTGCATGCAGCTCAAAACAGCTGTCCAAAAAATGCGTGTGTGCAATTTGTACCTCTGCATCTGAGTGTGCGTGTATCTCTGACATATCTGATTAGTATACATGTATGGGCCAGCTTTATACCTCTTTCACAATGGTGATATATATACGTGTGATATATTCAGGCTTTCTGACCTTGTTTGAAAGTAAGAATTGTTTTGTATTTTGCACATGTTAATGAGGTCAGAAATAGAGGATATTACATGGCTGCGCGGGGATACGAAGTTTATCTTCGAGTGCTAAGTATCTCTCACGAGTGAGCGAAGCGAACGAGTGAGAGATACTTTCAGCACGAGAAGATAAAATTCGTATCTCCAAGCGGCCATGTAATGTTCTGTTTATTTTGTAGATACTGATGAAATTCCTACATAAAACACGACTTTTTGAAACTATTGTAATTCTTTTAATTGGCTAATCATATTAGTAACCATGGCGACACCAATATCCTCATACGTGAAAGATAAAAATAGTATCTTCACTGCACGTGATGAAGATATGATTTATTAGTAAAAGGAAAAATCCTGGTATTTCATCAGTATCTATATAATAATACATATTTAATAGGCGACCAGATTGTAAAATACGTCTATTGTCTACATATTGCTCTATTTTGTGAAAGGTTTGAACCCAGGAGTCATTTCATAAGTAGGCTGAGTATGATTGTCTGGGTGAACGTAGTCCTGAATGTTGACAGTGACTGATGTTTCGACAACCTGTGCAGTATTCATCTTCTGAGTGACTCTGAAGATGAATACTACAGATTGTTGAAACGCCAGTGACTGTCAATAACAACAGTCCTATTCAGGACTCGAACGTTCACCTGGAAATTCATGCATAAACTTTTGTTTCTATTTTGTTGTTAGTTTTTGTGGACTTTATTGTAAGTCATTGGATCTTAAACAGTGGGCATTAATTGAGGAACTGTATACAAGTAAACATACGTTTATCTTCCTACAGTGTAACTCAAACATTTGAACAAGCATCCACATCATTGGCACTAAATGAATCTTTGGCTAAATGTTTTCCATCCATTATTAGTTTGAGCATCTTGAGGAAGGATGAACATGTACATATACCAGCATGCAAAGAAAGATGTGTCTGGTAGCCCGGGGCTAGTGGATTTTGCAATTGGGCTAGTGATTTGTGTTCTTAACTTGCCAGCAGGGCAAGTGCAGTTTTTTAGGAAATTCAAATTACAGTGAAGAACTGTAATCAATGCTGCTCATTAAATTTTTTGAGGGGCTACTTAAAAGACTCTTGGGCTAGTACATACTAGCAACAACTTGCATGCCTGAATGGCAAGCCATAAATTAAACCGACTTTCTTTGCACCCTGGTGTACAGAAAGGAAACCTATTGCTCCACCTAGACCGATTTATACAAGAAATGCTGATGACATAAATTTATAAAGCACAAACAAGGGTCAGTCATTTGGCTACAGTGTAGTTAGCTAAGAACTGTGGCTATGCCATTTCGACTTATACATGTAACGTTCACAGAAAATATTTCCCAAACAGTGGATAGAGCCAGCGATGTTTGTTACGATGTTTGTAAACTTTCCATCATGGATACCCAACATTTTGCATCTGACAAAACGTGAATTATATTTATTTAAACAATAATTGCTGACACAATCTAACTTGATTGTACATGTAAATTATTTTATTTACAGTGGCAAGTTACTTCATGTCAGAGTTAACATAGAATGTTTTTTGAATATTACGAAGGATGTCTCATTTTAAAATAAAGACTGTCTCTGCTAGTGTGGTTTTGTATCTGTCAGGCCAAATCACATGAAAAATGTCACCATTAATTTTTTACATTTTCTGCTCCTAGTAAAATCAAGATTGACTTGTACAATATTAATAATAACTAGGATAACAGTGCAGCCTGGCAACTCCAAAAATGAAATTTCTTTGCAACTTACTGTTTTGGTATTTTTATTTATTTTGATTGCTTGACTGACAAGCAATAGAAAAAAGTGGTAACAATTTCATGCTTATCTACATTTTTTTGTAAATATGAACGCTTTTATAGTAATTAACTAATATTTCGTTCTTAGGTTTTACAGTATCCTTCTTATAATTTACTGTGGTTTAATCATACTCTACAAGTATCTTTCTCTTTTGTTGTGTATTGTACTTGCTCGTAATCAAAAATAGTAAGATTTTTGCTACAAATAATTTGAGAGCAATGTTCTACGAGAGACTTTCATTATAGTACCGTATGTTCTTAGTGAGATTCTCACAACAGGAAGATTAAAGGGGTTATGCCACGCTATTTTCTAACTTCCAAAAATAATGGTCCAGTTTTGTTATGCACAGCTATTACATTAAATATAAATTAGGCGTTGAAACAATATCCTATCTACCTTTGTCACGCAACGGCCATTTTGTCCCAGGAGATTTAAAAAGCTTTGTTTTTGCACAGTTAGCCTAGCTGGCAGTGAGAATGAGGCTAGCTGTGCAAATACAAAGCTTTTTTAATCTCTTGGAACAAAATGGCTGCTTGGTGACAAGGGTCTATTGTCTGTAGCTACGAATGGCAAGGATGGATGTTGATTAAAACTTGAAAAAGTTGTGCCACCCTTTTCAAGTTTCAAAGCAGGCTTTGTGCCTGCAAAAATTACAATCATAAAAATTGTTACAGTTAGCGCTCCATGGTCAAAATTTTGCTTGGTTATCTTCTTTAAAACGGGTACAAGTATTTGTTTTATGGGTTAAGGGACTAAGTTCTGATGTATATGTAAGCTATCCATGAACATGCTATGGTACAACTAGGCATCATAATATTATTGCAAATAGAAGGTATAGTGTCCAATAGCTCTGAACTGGTGGATTTTGCTATTGCGTTAGTGGATTTCATTCTTAACTTGCCCACTGTACAGGACAGTGCAGTTTTTTAAGGGATTAAAATTACAGTCTTAGAACTGTGTAATCATTGCAGTTACCTCATCAAAAAGTATTTGGGGCTAGTTAAAATGACCTTTGGGCTAATGCTCAAACGAAAAGCTGTAAAACTGACTTTCTTTGCACCCTGCTGATGTTAATTCCCAGTAGACTTCACAGTTCCCTATTATTCCATAAATACTGTAACTCCCATTCATGTAGGGTGCGAATGTACCAAGGGGGGAGGGAGTGCGATCCAAGTTCACAGAAGTTAAAGTGGAAGGAATTTCTTCACACCTCCTGGATGTGAGCTACAGTGATGTGAGGACAGTCCCCCTATTCCCCCCAAATCACTGATCCTATACTGCCTCCCCCACTCCCAACCCCCAGTCCCAGGGTAGAATTGATACTCATCCCTGGGTTACACTCAGACCATGGGTAAATTAAAGATAAAAGAAAGGAGGAAAAAGAGTGATTATCTAATGTGTTTATGTAAAGTATAAAAGTACAGAGGAAGTGGCAAATTAACTGGGTTGATTAAGCTGTTGCTGCCAATCTCACTTGCTGCCTCATTTATATACCCTGTGTGCCTCCATAAGGCCTTAAAAACTGTCCATTTCACTACTCTATTTTAGACAAGAGACTCTCCAACCCATATTTAGGCTATTGAATCCCCCCTCACACACACATGTACATGTACACTGATTGAAATCTCCCACATTTTACAGCCTGTTCAGGGCAGCACCCTGTTTGAGAGGCTAATGGCAAAATTGTGTACTCAGTTTGAAGACTCTCAACCCCCCCAAACCCATACCATGTTCAGTGCTGTTACCCATTAAGGCCAAATATGGGGTTGCTTTCCCCTGGGCTGCAAAGACAGTATAACTCTTCATTACTTCTTGTTTTTGCCTTAGGTGTCCTTGTCGCCACTGGAGATGTCATCACCCAGCAATTTGCTGAGCAAAGAGGCACAAATCATGACTTCAGAAGAACAGCTCGTATGGGCGTGGTTGGACTAGTTATTGGCCCTGTGCTAAGATCATGGTATCTTACACTGGAAAGGATTATCCCTGGGACTGCCAAAACTGCCGGCTTTAAAAAGATGCTGTTAGATCAGAGTCTCTTTGCTCCTGTTATGATATGCTTCTTTTTCAGTGTGTCAGAGACACTTGCTGGAAAACAACCACATGAAACTAAAGTAATGCTCCACGAACGCTACGTACAGACACTGATCACAAATTATAAGATTTGGCCCCTGGCACAGACTCTGAATTTTACGTTTGTTCCTATTCAGCACCGTGTTGGCTTTGTTCAAATTGTAGCAATATTTTGGAATGCATACCTGTCATGGATGGCTAACAAGCCGTCACCTGATGCTGCAGCCTTAACTGTTAAGGATTCTTTGGAGCTGGTTCAGTGA